AAAAAAAACTCTAACAAATCAGATAATATACATTAAAAAAAACTTACAGTTCAGACCTGGTACCTAAAAAATGTCTGAATGGACGCTGAATCAGCGTAAAAAGTCTGATATCTAGGGCACTGATCCCCCTCCTCCTCTCAACCGGTCCATCCCCCATGGCCCTCGTAATGCTCTTCCCTCACTACCTCCCACCCATCCCAGCGCAACAGCTGCAGGCCCGCAGTGCCATGCGGTGTGGAAGCACACGCACCTGCCCTGCTGGCCTTGGGGGATCCTGCCACCACTGCATGCATGCCTGCCCTCTCACTCCTGCCCTGCAGGCCCACCTCTGCACATGGGCTTGTAGTACACCCTGCGCCCCACTCCCCAGCTGTGCTGCTGCACAGGTACGGTACTGTGGATGGTGGCAACATGGTCATGCATGAGTCATGAGTCATGACACCCATGCTGGGCACACCACACATGCCTTGCCATGGCAGTGTCCTGGTCGGTCAGAACCCAACAGGTGGCACAGGGTGGTTCAACTCAGTGTCAACCAAGAGCGTGATGCTGGGTTTCATGGGGTCCGCTTGGGTTGAATAAAGGTACGGTATTAGGGTACATTCCGCTGTGGACCATGTCCCAATCGATGTGTCCCAATCGATTGGGACGTGTACGTACAGCATATGCTGCCAGGTGTCAGAATGCCGGGCCGCCCGTCGTTGTCGCCAAACGTATTTATCATTGGGTGACGTGAAACACGGAACATTCGCCAGCTAATTGCAACACACCCCATCAGTCGCACGCGGTGCCAAATGTCAACTCATGCAGCATGTATCTGGACCACATTGGAAAAACCCCTTCATCCCCAACAACGCGTACACAGCTTCGTGATTGGTCGATTGGACACTCCTGGAGGCGTCGGTGAATGTGCTGCGCAAGGCTGAGTGGGTCAAATTGTTCTCTGACCAATCACAGTCGATCGCATATAATTGTCGCGCGTCTGTGCAGAGTCGCAATACATCAATCGATTGGGACATGCAGACTCGGAACATTGGAGCGCGACTCGGGCTAAATTGATTGGGACATATCGATTGGGACATGGTCCACAGCGGAATGTACCCTTATTGATCAAGTGCCAATCGATACCCTCTTCTCGCTTTGCTTTTCGTATTTCATGTGTGCTCCTCATCAGAGACCGTATTGATGGGCGCTGGGCACGCAATGGGCAAGTTGGATTGGTTTGGGTGAATGGTAATTGCCGCTGGTGCAATGAGCTGAGTGGGGCATGATCATGGGGCGCTGGGCAGCTGAAAGCAGCAACTCCAACAACAAACACTGTAACACAAGAGCAGAAAGCCAACACAGCAACACCAACAACACTAGCAGCAGCAGCAACCTCACTCTAGATGATTGCAGCCCCTTGCAATCCTTTCAAGTTACTAACATGCCACAACACCTGCACGTGCTGCAAGCATCATGGTACAGGCGCAGCGGGAGCAGCAGCAGCGGCTGTGTGAGAGACAGCGCGGGCGGAGCGGTGGCGTTTGCCTTTGAGGTGGAACTTGTAGTTGCTCTCGTTCAGACACGTCACCCCACACACCGCACACCACCCCCCCACAAAGGGTGGGCCCACACTCGCCCACCCCATGGCCCTCGCTCTCTTGCCCTGCTGCGGGACTTCATCACTCCCCTCCTCTTTCACCTCGTCCTTGTCACTCTCGTCCAACTCCAAAATCTCCACTTCCTCCTCCTCCTTCTCCACCTTCTCCTCCTCCTCCAGGTCGATGATCTCAACCGTCTGTTCTTTCTTCACACCCCCATCACGCCACTCTTCCACTTGCGGTTTCTCCCTTCCCCACTCCCATCGCGTCACATGCACCCCATGCACCCCATACCCGCCATGCCCCCCATGCCCCCCCTGTCCCCCATACCCGCCATGTTCCCCGTGCTCCAACCCCGTTTCCCCTTGCACTCCCCCCATGCCACCCACACCCCCCCCTCCATCTTCCCCATTCACTGCGCCACTGCCCCCCTCACCCCTATGCCTGTCAGCATGTCCCTTCTCCACGAACCCCTTCCCCCCATGCCCCTCCCCCCAATGCCCCTCCCCCCCATGCCCCTTCCCCCCATTCCCCTCCCCCCCATGCCCCTCCCCCAAATGCCCCTTTCCCCCATGCCCCTCTCCCCCATGCCCCTTCCCCCCATGCCCCTCCCCAACATGCCCCTCTCCCCAATGCTCATGCCCCTTCCCCCAATGCCCCTTTCCCCCATGCCCCTTCCCCCCATGCCCCTTCCCCCTATGCCCCTCCCCTCCATGCCCCTCTCCATGCCCCTGCCACCAATGCCCTTCCCCCCCATGCCCCTCCCCACCATGCCCCTGCCACCCATGCCCCTCCCCCTCATGCCCCCTCCCCCCATGCCCCTGCTTGTCATGCACGTGGCCCCCCTGCTCCTGCCCAGCCTGCGCCTCGGCCCCCCTCGCGGCCCCCCGCTGCGCGCGCCCAGCATCGGCGGCCTGGTGCTTGCGGCCCGCCATGTGCGACTGTAGCACTGGCAGTGACGTCAGCACCACGTCAGGACAGAGCGGGCATGTGACTGGGAACGCCAGTGGTTTGGGAGCCTTCCACTCCGCCCCTCTCTGCGCCCCAGACCGCTTCGCACCCTTCCCCGCGCGCTTCTTTCCGCCGCGCCCTCTGCTCCCAGCCCAGTGCCTGCTTCCTCTCCCATTTCCCCTCCCCCCTCCCTCCCTGTTCGCCCCCCCCTGTCCACCACTTGGGACCGATTCCCACTCATACCTGCTTCCCTCTATCTCCCCCCTCCGCCGCTTATTTCCCCGCCAATCTGTGTTCGTCTCCCCCCTGCCTTCCGCCATGTCCCCATTGTCCGCCCTCTCCGTTGCGCCTCCCGCCCCAGCGGTCGCTTCTGCTGCCCGAGACTTATAACCCCATGGCCGCCTGTCATCGCCTGCCACGCGGCAGTTTCTGATTGCTCGCAAGGAGGCGGGGTCGTTCCCAGCCACTGGAATGTGAGGGGTCCATGGGGGGAGCGCATGAGCGGGCATAGGCAAGTGAGGGACGGGTGCGCGGAGTTCCACGATGCGCGGAAGCGGCGCGAACGTGTGGTATGGTGGGGGCACTTGAGGTGCCGGCATGCCCTCATAGCCCCCGCCGCCTGCGCCGCTCATGCCGCCTATGTTGGGCGGCCATTCAGAGTGGTCGGATGGTAGAAGCCATATTACGTTCGGCGCAGAGGTGGCGAGCGGAATGCGCAGAGAATAGAGGCGCAAGGGCACAGATGGGGGAGGCGGGTGCAGGAGCGATTGCACGTTAGCGGTGCGAAGGAATGCCTGGTCTGTGAAGGTCAGCAGCATGCACGTGGGAGGACTCTCCGGAACATCCATTGGGACGCACGCGCTGTACAGGTGCACACAAAAACCTTCCTTTCGTACACATCTCAAGTGTATTAAACATTTGAACCTTTCGTACAGTTCGTCTACTCTTGTACAATATCATTGTACACTCTGTACGCGTGGTCACAGCACCCTTTCCATTCTGGTGTTTGTCCGCGAGCGGGAGACATCGCTTCCACAACGCTTTTTCGACGGTCTGTGACGTCGCAGTCCGGGCAAGCTTTCGCGAAGACCATTTCGCGACGTCAAAACACCTTCGCACCGAGCCGACATTTTATTTGAGCGAGCCCGCCAATATATTGGCGAAGGCTCGTTGGTCCTGTGATGGGTTGCGGTCCCAGCTTTCATACCTGACGCCTCGCCTGTGCGATTGTGCGTGCCTCATGCCTGGTCGCACACAGTCCAATGTCCTTCGCCGAGCCGCACATGCGGTGCGATCCGCTAGTGTACGTTTTTCCAAACAGTCGGGAGGAATTCGCTCTCCGTCAGTGGTATGTCGAATTGAAAGTACTAGTCAACCCAGACCAACCTACCATTGTAGACAGATCTCGAACATGCGTGAAACACCAAGTCAACACTCCCTGTCTATGCTAGCCAATGCACCTCGCATCTGTTCCTCTCCACATAATTCAGCCGACCATTTATCCTTCAGCTTTCAAGAGCCGCGTAGCTTCACATCGACCTTCTCACCTCTAGTGCCAAGCCGTAGGGCGCAAGGTTCGTGAATCTACCGTCTAGTCGTGACCAGCCATTGTTGTGCCAATGAGATCCTCACACGCCCTCAGATGGCGGTGCTTAGCACTCACCTGCGCGCTGCTTCTCATATCCGCTCCGCGGAGCCACAGCCACACGGGTGACACGGGCGTGAGTGGCGGGCTCAAGGATCGTGACGACACGTTCCAGCAGGAGCTCATGCTGGCCGACATGCCCGCGCTGCTCTCCGTCGACTCGCCCTCCACCACCGCCGCCAGCACCACCAGTAGAGGTAGCAGCAACATTGCAAACAGCAGCAGTAGTAGCAGCAGCGGCAACAGCAATCAGAATAGCGACGTGTCGCCTGAAAGCAGCTCTGCGGCACCGCCGCCGCCGTCGCCAGCGGCGGAAAATCCGCTGAAGTCGACGAACGGCGCTAAGCCCAAGGTGGCGACGACGCAGGCGGCGGGGTCGACGTGCGACATCTACGACGGCTCGTGGGTGTCCGATCGCGCCAACCGCCCCGCCTACGACATGTCCTCGTGCCCCTTCCTCAAGGTGCGCCGCATTGCCCGCCGCTCAATGCGCGCGCCCACATTTTGCAAATGTAGCGTGTGACGCGCTGCTCCCCGCATTGGCCGCAGGGCTTCGTGATCCGCACGGTGTCGTATCACGTCAGCTTGACTGGAATGCGTGCTGTGTGCTCTCTATCACCGTTCAGACTTGCTGTTGACTGGCGTTGACTTGCGATGCTTGGCCGTGCAGGACGTCGCTCCCACCACCAACTGCCTCGACCCGAAGAGGAAACTCGACCCGAGCTGGATGGTACGACCGCTCACTCGTCATCCCTCTCCCCTTGCGTTTCACTTACTGACAATTCACATTCTTCGCAATCCGGCTTTTTCCGTCTATGCTCATGCGCATTTGGTCATGGCTGCCATGTGCTTGTATCGGGGATATGCAGTACTACTCATGGAAGCCGCGCAACTGTGGAGGGCGCACAATACGATTCTCGCCAGCCAAGTTCTTGATGCGGATGCGCAACAAGTGAGTTGCTGCACCTCATTTGTGTCCACGCACTGCCTCACTGCCGCACGGCCGCTCTGCCGCACGGCCGCTCTGCCGCACGGCCGCTCTGCCGCACGGCCGCTCTGCCGCACTGCCGCTCTGCCGCACTGCCGCTCTGCGAATCTCGTGAGAAGCAGCCCTTCCTCGCCTACCCGCGCTGCCTCACCCTCTCTTCACTTCCCTCGCTCCCCCTCCCTGTCTCCTCGTGGTGGTCGGCGCGCAGGGTGATAGCGATGGTGGGCGACTCGCTCATGTACGAAGGCTTCCTTCCCTCCATGCTCTGCCAGGTACGCCCTCCATGCTCTGCCAGGTACGCCCTCCATGCTCTGCCAGGTACCGCCCTCCATGCTCTGCCAGGTACGCCCTCCATGCTCTGCCAGGTACGCCCTCCACGCTCTGCCAGGTACGCCCTCCATGCTCTGCCAGGTACGCCCTCGCTGCTCCTCTCGCGTTCACTTCATCTCGTTCTTACCCCAACAATACCACCCCTAGCGCGTGGCGCCCATGCCACCAGCGACTCGCCGACACCGCCCTTCCCACCGGTCCCCTTCCCCTCTCCCCCTGAATGCGCGCAGATCCACCGCGTGTCGGCGGTGAGCAAGGTGACGGACGACGGGCTGAGCAAGTTCGTGTGGCGCGTGGCGGCATACAACGTGACCATCGTCAACTACTGGAGCCCCTTCCTCATGGCCTACTCCACTCAGAACGACGTGCTGCGCCGCATTAAAGTCACCAACCCCGGGCTGGGCGACACGGCCGTCAACCTGCACACGTTCGACCCCACGTGGTTCGACAAGGTCGGGCGGTTCGGCATGGTGGTGTTCCAGTCCGCGACGCACTGGCCGCACGCCAAGACGTGGCTGCGGCGATTCTTCGTGAACCGCAAGTGGCAGCTCATCAAGCCCGAACCCAACACCGTGCAGGCCTACAAGTGCGTCCATCCCCCCGCCCCCCGCCCCCCGCCCCCCTGACCCCTGCGCCGTGCCGCATGCCCCATGCGCCATGCTCCACTGCCATCCCCCTCTTTCCCATGGGCCTGCGCGTCGCCTCATCCGCATCGTCCGCCGCCCCCCGTTCCCGCACCCGCCCGCGTCTCCGTACCTCCTCCGCAGGATGGCGTTACGGCGGCTGGCGCGCACGTTCGACGCGAAGAGCGTGAAGCGGTGGCGGCTGCCGCCCATGTACTTCCTCTCCGCGCCGCCGCGCCTCGCCGGCTGCCAGGGCGCCAAGACTCCCAGCTCTCCGCAGATGGTGCGTTGGGGGAGGGGGGGAGGGGGGGAGGGGGGAAGGGGGAAGGGGGAATGGGGAAAGAGGCGGAAGAGGCTTGGGATCTGCGGTCGGGAGAGGTGGCGGGAGAGAGGGAAATGCAGAGCAGAGGGGGCCAGGAGGCCGTTGGGGACGGTCAATGGACGCATCACTGATGCCTGCTTTCTACCAGGCCGCACTACTGTGCGCCCGCCTAACCCATGCCAGCAGCTTATGCTGAGCCTGGGTGTGGTGTGAGGCTGTGTAGGGAGGGCAGAGAGCTCTGCTGGCGCCCATGGGGTACACAGAGCGCACGGCAGCCCCTTTCACGCCCCTTGCTCCGCCAACCGCCATCCACCCGCTTACCCTCCCCCCTCCCCGCCCCGCTTCCTATGTCCCCCGTGCGCAGTACTCGTTCTTTGAGCGCAACAACTCGCAGAGCCGCGTGTGGTACCCGTCGCAGGCAAACGTGTTCAAGGGCAGCCGCACGATCCGCCTCATAGACATCACGCACCCCTCGCTCTTCCGCTCCGACGCCATGATCGCCGCGCAGCGCCGCAAATCGCAGGACTGCTTGCACCCCTGCATGCCCGGCCTGCCCGACACCTGGGTCGACCTCTTCTATGAAACGTGGCGCCGCGAACACGGCGTTGCGTGATGTATGGTGCGTTCGTTGGGGCGTACGCTACCATACCGTACCGTATTTTAGGTAAATCTGTAGCAGAGAAGAAGGCGCAACGCTAATGCGCTGCACGGCAGCAGGGGGCAGGGAAAAAAAAACAACGGCAGTATTTGCAGCTGCTGCATCCTGTATTACACCCTCTAGCGCCCCTGCTCAGTTGGCAAATACGCCTACAGGATAATGACTGTACTGGCAGATATGAAACAATTGTTATAATAAGGACAGTACACCTAATCATCCACTCCACAGACGTTGCACATGCCTACATTGCAGGTATGAGCATGTGATGTACACATGTGAGCGAACTGCTATGTGTAGCATCCATCCTTACCCTGCTGCACTCCCTCTGGACTAACTTCCCACAAGGCAATGCACCTCACTGCTCCTGCCTACGTGGCTGCACACAAGAGGTGGATTATTATTCAGCAGCGCGCACGCTGCTCCCTACCACTACCAATGCATGAGCACACAGTGCGAGCACATGGGTGTGGGGCAAGGCACTCGGAGTGCTGTGGTGCTTGCATAAGGCTGACTCGAGTCCCCCTGCTCTGACTGCTCATGCACTGTGCCCCCACCATGCCATGCTCATGAACACGCTTGTACTGTTCCCTATATGCCTTCCTGCAATGCATGTGCCGCCCCAGCTGCATCATCCCAAGCTGTTACGGTATTCCATGTGGACTGCGCGAGCACTGTCATCCAAAGCTCGTGTGCCGGGCTGACCGGTTCCTGGTGTACAAGAGAAAGTGAGAGAGAAACACACGGGTTAGGTGTCTCTACATAAACAGCACATGGGACATGCATGAGGCAGTGAGGCATGCACGAGGGGAATGGGGCATGCACGAGGGGAATGGGGCATGCACGAGGGGAATGGGGCATGCACGAGGGGAATGGGGCATGCACAAGGGAATGGGAAGGAAATGCAGGAGGGCAGCAGGACACACGGACAGCATGGCATGCAGAACGAATGGGGCATGGCGTGGGCGAGCAGAGCAGCACCTTTGGAATCTGGCCTTGGCAGTCCCGGCTGCCCTCTCAGGCGACCCTGACAGCCCCCCACTGGCCGTCATCCGCACACTTCCCCCCACCACTGCCCCGCTGCCCCCCCCACCCGCCCCCTGCATGCAGCTCCCCCCTGACCCCGCACGCGTGGGGTCTGACGGGCCGGCGGGCGGCAGCATTCGGCCGCTTCTGAAGCCCTCGCTTGCCGGCTGCAGCGCCTCGTCTCGCTCCGCGCAGGCTGAGGGGGGGAGGGGGGAAGGGGGGGGAGGGGGGAAGGGTGGGGAGGGGGGAAGGGTGGGGAGGGGGAAGGGTGGGGAGGGGGAAAGGGTGGGGAGGGGGAAAGGGTGGGGAGGGGGAAAGGGTGGGGAGGGGGAAAGGGTGGGGAGGGGGAAAGGGTGGGGAGGGGGGAAGGGTGGGGAGGGGGAAAGGGTGGGGAGGGGGAAAGGGTGGGGAGGGGGAAAGGGTGGGAGGGGGAAAGGGTGGGGAGGGGGAAAGGGTGGGGAGGGGGGAAGGGTGGGGAGGGGGGAAGGGTGGGGAGGGGGGAAGGGTGGGGAGGGGGGAAGGGTGGGGAGGGGGAAAGGGTGGGGAGGGGGAAAGGGTGGGGAGGGGGAAAGGGTGGGGAGGGGGAAAGGGTGGGGAGGGGGGAAGGGTGGGGAGGGGGGGAAGGGTGGGGAGGGGGAAGGGTGGGGAGGGGGAAAGGGTGGGGAGGGGAAAGGGTGGGGAGGGGGGAAGGGTGGGGAGGGGGAAGGGTGGGGAGGGGGGAAGGGTGGGGAGGGGGAAGGGTGGGGAGGGGGGAAGGGTGGGGAGGGGGGAAGGGTGGGGAGGGGGAAAGGGTGGGGAGGGGGGAAGGGTGGGGAGGGGGGAAGGGTGGGGAGGGGGAAGGGTGGGGAGGGGGGAAGGGTGGGGAGGGGGGAAGGGTGGGGAGGGGGAAAGGGTGGGGAGGGGGAAAGGGTGGGGAGGGGAAAGGGTGGGGAGGGGGAAAGGGTGGGGAGGGGGGAAGGGTGGGGAGGGGGGAAGGGTGGGGAGGGGGGAAGGGTGGGGAGGGGGAAAGGGTGGGGAGGGGGAAAGGGTGGGGAGGGGGGAAGGGTGGGGAGGGGGGAAGGGTGGGGAGGGGGGAAGGGTGGGGAGGGGGGAAGGGTGGGGAGGGGGGAAGGGTGGGGAGGGGGGAAGGGTGGGGAGGGGGAAGGGTGGGGAGGGGGAAGGGTGGGGAGGGGGAAAGGGTGGGGAGGGGGAAAGGGTGGGGAGGGGGGAAGGGTGGGGAGGGGGGAAGGGTGGGGAGGGGGAAAGGGTGGGGAGGGGGGAAGGGTGGGGAGGGGGGAAGGGTGGGGAGGGGGGAAGGGTGGGGAGGGGGAAAGGGTGGGGAGGGGGAAAGGGTGGGGAGGGGGGAAGGGTGGGGAGGGGGGAAGGGTGGGGAGGGGGGAAGGGTGGGGAGGGGGGAAGGGTGGGGAGGGGGGAAGGGTGGGGAGGGGGAAAGGGTGGGGAGGGGGAAAGGGTGGGGAGGGGGAAAGGGTGGGGAGGGGGAAAGGGTGGGGAGGGGGGAAGGGTGGGGAGAGGGGAAGGGTGGGGAGGGGGGAAGGGTGGGGAGGGGGGAAGGGTGGGGAGGGGGGAAGGGTGGGGAGGGGGGAAGGGTGGGGAGGGGGGAAGGGTGGGGAGGGGGGAAGGGTGGGGAGGGGGGAAGGGTGGGGAGGGGGAAAGGGTGGGGAGGGGGAAAGGGTGGGGAGGGGGAAAGGGTGGGGAGGGGGAAAGGGTGGGGAGGGGGGAAGGGTGGGGAGGGGGGAAGGGTGGGGAGGGGGGAAGGGGGCGTGAGATGGAGAGGTGGGCAGTGCGGGAGAGGCAGTGTTTAAAAATCCGTGGAGGTGAGGGAGGGTGGCAGGGAGGGAGGGGGAGGCGGGCACCTGAGCTGTAGATGGCGAGCAGGGAGAGCGCCACATCCTCCATGGAGGGGCGCTGCAGGGGGTCCATGTCAAGACACGTGCCCGCCAGCTGCAGGCACCGCCCCACCGACCGCCCCGCCACCAGCCGCCTCAACTCCCCCGCTGCCCCTGCCACTGCCCCCGCCCCTGCCGCGTCCTCCCCCCCTCGCCCGCCCCCTGCGCCCCCCCCATTGACCCGGCCCAGCAGGGCGCGCTGCAGGCGCGGGTCCAGCAGGTCCTCCCAGCGCTCCTCCTCCAGCAGCGGCGCCGCCCACATCGTCAGCTGCTGCCGGCTCGAGTCTATCGGCAGCCGCCCCGTCACCAGCTGCAGCAGCACCACGCCGAAACTGGGCGGGCGGCGGGAAAGGTGCAGTGGGGTGCAACGGATTGGAGGGATGGGATTAAATGGGAGGGCGCGGAAGGAAGAGGTGAGTGGATTGAAGGTGGGTTCAGGGTATGGCGACGAGAGGGAGCATGGGGTAGAGCAAACCGCAGAGAGGGTCAATGTGGGGAGGTGGTGAGCGGCAGGGTAGCAACAGGGGATGTGAGTGGGATGAATGCATGTTGCCAGCTATCACCCATCCCCCCACCACAAGCCGAGCCTGGCAGCCGCAGAGCCTTGCCCGCACTGCGATGTGAGTGATTTTTGAGACGTCTCAAAAACTCACTCACTCAAAAAACTCACTCATTTCACGCGCTGTCAGTTCTGCGCGGACTCAGGAGTCCCCTTCCCCTCCTGCCCGTACCTGTACACATCAGTAGCAGCGCTGATCTCGCCAGTCATGAGCATCTCGGGCGCCATGTGCCCGGGGGTGCCCATGGCGTAGTCCACACTGTCACACAGCCGCTCCACCTGCCTCCCCGTCACCGCATCCTCCACCACCTCTGTGCGCCGTATCAGCTTCGCGCACCCAAAGTCCGCCACCTGGGGGCAGGGGGAGGGGGGGACGGGGGTGTTGGGATGCAAAGTGAGAGTGAAAGGATGCATGTGGGGTGGGGGGGGCAGGGAGTGGTGGCACGGCGTTTGATGAGGCGAGTGACACGGAGGGAGGCGAGGGCTGTCAAGGCGCTCTGGGGCACACAGTGGGCTGGTGACATGGAAAATGGGTGTGAGTGATGCAACGTTATGTGATTTGATGCAGCCATGTGCGGTGCTGTGCGTGGCTGTGCGGTGCCACACACGCGCACCTTAGCAGTGAAGTTGGAGGTGAGCAGGATGTTGGGCGCCTTCACATCGCGGTGCAGGATCTGCGGTCGCTGTCGGTGCAGGTGAGCCAGCCCCCTCGCCGCCCCCGCTGCTATGCGCACGCGCCGCTCCCACGACAGCTCTGCCGTTCCCGGGGGGCCTGCCGGTGGGGGAGGTGGGAAGCGGTTTCGCTCACAGGCTGCTCCACAGGCAGCAGAGGAAGACGACTAGGATGAGGGGACGTGGGGCATGACGAGGGGAGGCGACGGTTGGCCAGCGGCGAGTGAAACTGGGAGGGGCACGCACAAGAGGGAGGAAACACAGTGTGTGGGGCGTGGGGTGTGGGACGAGGAGCACAGGGCGTACCGTGGAGGTGGTCGGTGAGGGAGCCATTGGGCAGGTACTCATAGACGAGCATGCGCTGGGAGGCGGTGGAGCAGAAGCCGTGCAGGCGCACGAGGTTCTTGTGGTCGAGCCGCGACAGCAGCTCGAGCTCGATGTGGAACTCCTCGTCCGCCTGCACGCCCAGCTGCTTCAACACCTTCACCGCCACCTCCACGCGCGGTGCTACTGGCAGCAGCCCGCGGTACACCGTGCCGAATCCGCCCTCTCCCAATATGTTCTCCCGCGCGAAGCCGTCCGTGGCGAACTGCAGGAGGAGTTTGAAAGGCCGCGGCCCGGGGTGGGGGTGGGGGTGGGGAGGGAGGGGTATGGGAAGGGGATCTACGACTGCAAGAAGCATGAATGGAAACACGAATAGCACAAGTCGTGGCACCAGCATTACGAGCATGCTTCTTGCCCGGCACATCCTTCCCCCCATGCACCTTTCCATCCCCGTTTTCTCTCCCCAACCCCCCTTCTTTCCCCCTCCAATCTCTCCCCCCCCCCCCCCCCCCCACCTCCAGCTCGGTGATTTGGAACTGCACCCGCTTGGGCGCTGCCAGCCCCTCAAAGCCCTTCCCCTCCCTGCGCGCGCGGATGGGGGAAGGTGGGGGGGGGAAGAGAGAAGGGGGAAGAGGGGAGAGGGGAGAACGGGGTGCGTATGAGAGTAGATATCCGGAGTGGATAATTGGGCGGAATGTGGGGGGAATCGGGTGTCAGGGCGGAGGGAGAGAGGCAAGAACGAGTGGCTGGGGGAGCGGTTCCAGCATAAAGGTGCGGAAGGGGCATGGATAGGGGGCATGGAGGAGAGGGGACATGGCGGAGAGGGGGCATGGAGGAGAGGGGCATGGCAAGGGCGCGTGCTCTCACTGTTGCTGCTCCTGTTGCTGCTGCTGCTGCCGCTGCTCCTGTGGGTGCTGCTGAGCGTGCTTGCGCGCATTGAAGGACGAACCTGCATGCACAACCAGGCAGCACACACACGGGCGGGTTGAGAGTGGTGAGAAGGGATGGTGGAGAAGGGATGGTGGAGAAGGGATGATCAATGGAGGTGGTGGACGAGGGGGAGGCACGACGAGGCAGTCACCCCACTCATCTCGCCTTCACTTACCGTCCCGCACCTCGCACCCCATGCCCCATGTGCTTCGCCCTTTTCCCCTCCGCCCCACGACCCATGCCAACCCACGTCTCCCCCCTCCCCCCATGTCTAAAGCCCCACATCCTCCCCTTCCCCTCCCCCGCGTCTCACTGGACTTGAGCCCAGCGCGCACAGCAGTGGCAACGCGGCCCAGGCGGCTGCCGTGGCGCTCCTCGCCCTCCCCCTGCGGGCGCTTGAACGTCCCGTTGCGCAGCAGCTGCCCCAGCCGGCTCCCCCCGCCCCCCCCCGCTCTCCCCCTTGGCCCCCCCCGGCTGCGCGGTTGCATTACGCCGCAGGAACTTGGGCCACCCGCCCTCCCCATGGCCGCCCTGCTCGCGCTCCTCCCCCTCCTCTGCCTTGTGCTCCTCTGCAATGCGCGCATCGCTTTCCCCCCCCCCCTCCGCCCCGTCCACTCTGCTCCGCCCTTCCATATATTCTCCGTCTAACTCCCCCCTGTCCCCCAGGCCCCCCTCCCCTTCAGCGTCTTCCGCCCCTTGGATTTCCGCCTCCGCCTCCTCCTGACCCGCTGCGCCCTCCATCAGCCCCTCTCCGTCTGTCTCCCGCCCTCCGACATCCTCTCCCCGCTTCCTCCCCTCCCCGTCTTCCCGTTCATCCTCTTCTCCCCCTTGCTGCCCTCTCCGCCTTCCCGCCTCGCTTCCTCCGCACGACCCGTTCTCCCTCGCATCCACGTCAGCAACATCCAAGAGTCCACGTGTCATCATCTCACTTGCCAGCGCACCATGCGCGCCCCTGACCATTGACTCAATACCTTCCCCTTCCGCTGCGCCCACCATCTCCGCCTCGGTCTCCCTTCCCCCTTCCCCCCTCCCCCACAAGGCCTCTCCGCCGAGCCTGCGCCTCTCGTCCCCCAGTCCATCCATCCCCCGCCCCTGACTCTCACCAGCCAGTGCGCCCCCCGCCATCTCTCCGCCATCGCCCGCGTGGCGGAGTTTCTCCTCCACCTGCGCCAGCTCGCGCTGCTGCCACGCCGCCAGCACGGACCCGCGCTCCCCGCTGCTCGCGCTCGCCCACCTGCCGGACCGCGCTCCGACGCCGCCCAGCACGCGCGGCGGCGTGGGGCGGAATAGCTCGTCGTCGTCCGACGACCCCTCGCCGGCCAACCCGCCGCCGCCCTCAACTTCGCCATCCGATTGGTTACCCGAGCCGCTCAGCCGGTCCGATCGAGACCGCATCTGCGACTGGCTGCTCGCGTTCGCCCGCGGTTGCCGTTGCTGTCGCGTGCGCGTTCGGCGCACGGAGGGCTTTGGGCAAGCTGAGCCGACTGCGGACGCGGAGGATTCGCGGAGCAGGCTGTCGGGGTGCAGCGAGCTCTGCAGCTGTTGCTCCGCGGCGCCGCCCCATAGCAACCGCGCCGAATTCTCCGCGGAATGCGCACGCAAATTGTCTTCTCCGTCCCAAAGCATTGCATTCGAACCGTCGAACGACGCCCAGCGGCGGTGGTGCGACGCGCGCAGTGCGCGGGTGCGTGGATGGACCTTGGGGGCCCCGTCGCCCCTCTGCGCCTGCACCCCGTCGTGCATACCGCGCGCGCCGTGCCCTCCGGTGCGAGGTCGGGGAATGCCCTCAGCGGACCTTTCCCTCCCCGCGCCAGGCACCTCGGGCGAGGCGTTCAACGAAAAGCGCGACGGGGTCGAGTGGCGCGACACGGCTTCCAGTCGCTCCAGCGCCGGCGCCTCCTGCTCCTCGTCATCGTCGTCGTACTCTCCACCTTCCCCGCCGTTATCAGCGCGCGCATCCCTATCCCCGGGCCCCCCGACCACCGCTGGATCCGCCCACAAGACATCCATGTCCACTGCGCCCCGCCCTCTCATGTTCACCTCTTCACCGCTCCGCATCCCTCGTGACCCTGGGCTACCTCTCTTGCCAACTCCTGCGTATTCCCAACCGCTTCGTGCTTCCATAACCGGCCTGCCCTCTCTCGTCCCGCTAGTACCCACGCCACCGGCAATGCCTGCGCAACCCGTCGGGCGGGAAGCGGATTTATGGCGAGCGGTACGCGCCGGGTGTGGGGGGCTAGCGCAGTGAGCGGGATAATCTGCAATGCACTCGTTCCCCCCAAGCACAGCGACGGCCGCTGCGGGCATGCTTTCGCCGAACTCAGGCGAACATTTACGCCATCTCACTGTGAATTAGTCAGAATCGGGCAAGCTTGTGCGACGACAGTTCCTAGATTCTAGAACGCACAATGTCGAGGTCTTATGGGTGGCTTGAACCTGGTGGGGTGGGTTGGTGCGTTGGTGCTTGCTTTCTGGTGAGCCTGTTGCGACAAGCTGGCGGTTGATCTAGCGAGCTGGCGAATAGAGGTGGGGAGTTTGGCGGGGGAGGGGCAGAGCGAACAGCTGTACAGTAGGCGGAACTGAATTGCAGGGAGAGGCGGATGATTCCTGCGATTGGGCGCCAGGTGGCGAATGTTGGGGGGGACGCGGGGGAAGGTTCGCCTGGTTGTTGGCTCCGACACCAAGCCGAATCGCCTCTCGGGGTCAGCTCAGCGGGTCGTGGCGTGATGTCAATTTGAACAAATCAAGCGCCAACCTGGCGTCAACGCAAGAGGTCACGGCAGTCGCAAAAACATTTATAAGTTTTCTTTGAAAATCGAACATCATTCATCCCATCAGAACTAAAAATCCTCGCTTTGTTCGGGGCACGAAACAGTGATCACCAACCAGTTCGCATTGACTAGAACCTGCCCGAAATTAGCACTGTGCAACGCAATTGTACGTTGGCCTGGGATGACCAGAGGAAGCCTGTTGCCACTATGATATGGTACTGCCACGTCATCCCATGCCTTCATTGGCTCTCCCTCCGGAGGTGACCATGAGGGCTCTCTGGTTCATTCGCAAATATTCCTCCTTGTTCGTGCTTCGAATAAATTGATTTTGTGTAGCTGTCTGGTGATTTGGAGATATCAGGCACTTTTGTAACGAGTACAGAGATTGAACTGTTTCCAAAATATCTCCCGCCCTGATCAGCTTTTTTCATTCTTTTCATCAGCAACCATGGCTTCCAAGGTTCTCGCCTCTGCACCCGCCGCATCCCTTGCGATCCATTCTTCCTCTGCTGCCACCGCCAATGCTCGACCTGCCTGCTCGTTCCTGGGCGCTCCGTTAAAGCGCCAGTCGCACGAATGCTGCCGGCGAAAGCAGCTACGCCGCTCGGCGACCCTTGGCGAACGTGCCAGGCATGCTGTAGCGGCAGCGTCAGCGGAGGGGGGCGGCAAGTCAAAGGCGAAGGCGAAGGCGAAGGCGGAGAAGCCGCGCGTGGAGGTTACGGAGTCTGAGGAGGACGAGAACTCGCGGGTGAGTGGCGGCAGCACCCTTGCTGCTTGGTGCACGTGCTGCTAGGTGCACGGAGGATCGATTCCCCCTCGCCCGTCAGTAGCCGCGCTCATGCGTGTCACGCCATGTCGCGGGCCCTCGTCGCAGCAGGCGCTAGCTGCCGCGGCGACGCTGGTATCCTCGCATGCCGGCATTGTCGTCTCGCCGTCAGGCCTTCGCGAGAGCAATCGCGATCGCTCACATTTTCCACAGCGCTCGCGTCGCTCGTCATGGGAAATGCCACGGGGCTTGTAGCTGCCTGGAAAAGGGTAGATTTTGACTGCCGCATTGTGGGCAACAGGCGATGGGCGACACGCAGTGACGCGGGAAGGCAGATGCGCCGAGCCACGGCGAGGCGGGGCGAGCGAGGCGAGAGGGCGATAGTGGGAACAAGTAGCCGCGCCGTGGCGGTCTGATTGCAACAGCGCGGGCACGAGCAACGCGCGCGCGCAGAACCCTGTCCCCTCAACCGCGCCCCTACTTATACCCCGTGCTGTGCCGTGCGGCCCCTTGTGCGCAGGTTCGACTGACGGTGACGGTGCCCGCCGCGATCTGCGCTGACACGTGGCAGAGGACTGTTAAAGAGCTGATGCGCACCACTCAGGTAAGGTGACTCGCAGCGCACGCTGTGGAGTGACCAGCATTGGTCCATCACATGTCGTTGCTATCTGCCATTGCGAGGCTATCATGACACTGCTGCACCGCACCCCCACGTCATGCCATGCCATGCCATGCGCCACCTTCCACCCTGCACACGCATTCGCATCGCACTGCCGCTCTCTCACCACCTCCAACCACACACACTCACTCGCTTTTCCTCCTCCGTCCTCTCTTCTCTTCCCCTTCACGCGCGGCAGATAAAGGGGTTCAGGAAGGGAGACAGGGTGCCAGAGTGGCTGTTGGTGCGCGAGTACGGCGAGCGCCCCGTCAAGCTGCAGGCGCTCGACCTCCTCCTGCAGTCCACCCTCTCCGACGCCCTCGCCTCCGTGCGCACCCCCCCCCTCTTCTTCCCCCTTGTCCCCCACCCTCTTGCCTCCGTGTGCCCTGCATCCCGCACTCGCCGCTCTCCACCCTCCTCGCGCCCATCCCCGCACCGCACTCCTCGTGCGCGCCCCACTCTCTCCTGGGCCACCTGTTGCCCCCATGCCTGCGAGATTCAATGCCCTCTGCTTCTGCCCCACTGGGGCAGTGCCTCTTGCATCGCCTGATGATGCTGGCCCCATGCCATGCATGTGTGCATGCCCCATTTCTCACTCAATGTGTGCTGCGGAGATGTGTTGCACACGTGCATGTATGCGTGTGTGTATGCGCTGTGCTGCCCTGCATGCATGCGTGCGTGCCATCAGGTGGCGGGCAGGGCGCTAAAGGACTCGGAACACATAACATCCAACGTGGACGACCTCGTTGCCGCCTTCCAACCCGACAGCGCCCTCTCGTCAGCCCCGCTCCCTCCCTCCCCTGCAAACTACCTATCTTGATTCCTCTCTTCCCCCCATCTCTCTGTCCCCGCATCTTTCTCACTCGTGCACTCCCATCCTCGCATTCCATCTCCTCAGCGCGCCACATCGCATCATCCGCCATCCGCACCCCTCTCACCTCCCCTCTCCTCGCCCCGCCCGCAGCTACGAGGTGACAGTGGACGTGGCACCGGCGGTGAAGTGGAAGGGCGAGCGGCCGTATGCAGCGCTGCAGGTGGAGGTGGAGGTGGAGGACGACGGGGACGAGGCCGCCAGGGCGGCGGCGGACAGGCAGATCCGCACGCAGCTCAAGAGCATGGGCCGGCTTAACATCTCGCAGGACTCTGGGCTCAAGGTGCCGCTGCTGTTGCTGCATGCCCACCCATGCACCCACACGCACTCACGTGCGCACACATGCACACCCATGCAGATGCATGCCTGCATGCACAAAAGCCCGGCACACATGTGCACATGCACACATGGGCACACGCAAACGCATGTCCCTCGTGCTAAACACATTGTGCCTGCCTTTGTAATTCCATATGTGCATGTATGCATGGTGGCACGCATGCATGGTGGCACGCATGCAGATGGGCGATGTGACGATAGTGGACATCGAGGCGCATCGCATCACGGCAGACGGGCAGAAGGGCGACCCCATCCTCTCCGCCACTCAGAAAGGTACCCCCCTCCCCTCCCCCCCCTCCCCCCCTCCCCCCTGCCCTTCTGCGCCCGCTTCATTGCCCCTCTACCTGCATCGTCCCGCCCCGCCCCGCCCCCCCCCGCCCTCCCATGTTCCCTCAGCGCCTGTCCCCATGGCCCCGTGCTTCACCCAGCACCACCCACACCCCGCCACCCGCACGCCCTTCGCCATGCTGCACACTCGTCCCACCTCCGCCTCACCGTGTCCCTCCCCCTCCCCCTCTCTCTCCCCAATCCTCCGTGCGCCAGGCTTCCAGCTGGACACGGAGGAGGGCGAGTACCTGCTGCCAGGCATGGTGGACGCACTCATCGGCATGCAGCGCGGCCAGACGAGGGAGTTTGAGCTCACGTTCCCGCCCACCTGGCAGACCGAATCCCTCCGCAACCTCCCCGCCACCTTCACTGTGCGTGCGCTGCGCTCTGCTCCACTGCGCTCTGCTCCGCTGCGCTCTGCTCCGCTGCTCTCTGCTCCGCTGCTCTCTGCTCCGCTGCGCTCTGCTCCGCTGCTCTCTGCTCCGCTGCGCTCTGCTCCGCTGCTCTCTGCTCCGCTGCTCTCTGCTCCGCTGCTCTCTGCTCCGCTGCTCTCTGCTCCGCTGCTCTCTGCTCCGCTGCTCTCTGCTCCGCTGCTCTCTGCTCCGCTGCTCTCTGCACCCCTTTGCACCTCCTTCTACACCACTCTGCATGCTTTATTCACAGCTTTGCACCCACCCCATGTCGCTTCAGCTATCGCTCCTAACTCCCCTTCCACCCCCCCCCCCCTTGCTCTCTCCCCACTCCTCGCCTCCTCTCGCCCGCCAGGTGAAGTGCCAGGAGCTGTTTGTGAGGGAACTACCTGAGCTGACGGACGAACTTGCTGAGAAGTTCCTCCCAGGAGTGGCCACCATCGACGAGGTACAACAAGGAGATGATGCGCCCGTTACTGCCCCCTGCTGCCCCCTGCTGCCCCCTGCTGCCCCCTGCTGCCCCCTGCTGCCCCCTGCTGCCCCCTGCTGCCCCCTGCTGCCCCCTGCTGCCCCCTGCTGCCCCCTGCTGCCCCCTGCTGCCCTCTGCTGCCCTCTGCTGCCCCCTGCTGCCCCCTGCTGCCCTCTGCTGCCCCCTGCTGCCCCCTGCTGCCACGCTGCCATGCCGTTTCACTTACCAGAGCTATCGATGCATGGCACAACCACATTCCCATGCCTCGCATCCGTCACATTCCTTACATCCCTGGTGTGGTATCATGCCACTCAATCACCCCCCCCATCCCCTTGTGCGCTCCCATGCACCACCTGCTATCTGCCAACCCCCATCCGCCCTTCCCCCCACTTCCCGGGGCCG